TGTCACAACATGAGCTGTCTAACTCATTGCACAAGTATTGAAACTAAAATGACACTCTACTACGGATATTTTTATTCATTAATAAAATATGGGATAGTGTTATGGGGTAATGCTGAATTTTCTAAAGAAGTACTAACAGCACAAAAGAAAATCTTGAGAATAATGGCTTTAACATGACCAGGTTCTACATGCAAAAACCTATTTAAAAATTTGAAAATCCTTACAGTACCAAGTATTTATATTTATGAAACAACCTAACATGGTACTCAACTGAGAAAACCCAACACCATTACAACACAAGAAATAAAAAAATACTAGTTTATCCACACCACTCTACCACTGCTCTAGAAAAAGGTGTTTATTACATGGGAATGAAACTTTTTAACAAATTACCAAACAACATGAAGGAAGCGTCTCAGAAAGATTTTTCAGAGAATGTTGAAAGATTATTGATCAGAAAGGCCTTCTACAAAGTTCAAGATTTCTTGAATGATACTGAAATATAATCTAGTGGTTCTAGTCATGTAGCATTAGTTTTGTTGTTTTATATTATCTACTTTCATATGTTTATCACATTAAAAGACTTTACGGGAATTATTTGTTTGTGTCAAAATTAGTGATGTGGGCCGGGTAAATACCCAGTGGGTAGGTAAATATAAATTGGGTATTTACCCGGGAATTTACCCCAGGCCAGGGTAAATACCCAAAAACTGGGTATTTATAATTTGTATTAAAGTTAGAGAAGATTGAGATGTTTTTTTGCAATTATAACCCTGTAAGGATAGTAAAATGATGATAAAATGTGTTAAATAAAATTTCATATGATCACTACTAGCATTTTACTTCTGGGTACAATCGCTATAAATACCCAGGTCTGAGCATAAAGCATAACCGGCATAAATACCCTGGTCGCATGGTTGCACTGGTCTTGACTACGTATGATTTTTTAATTTCTATGATAGATAGATGAATTTATTTTATTGAAAGTGAAGAAAAATAATTTGCAAAGTAATAATTATTATTTATAAATACATGAAAATTTAACCTAGTTGTGGCCTAGGCGTGTAAACAATTTAAGAAAATAATTAAAGTTCAATCTGTAGGATGGCAGTATTAAATAAATAATATTTTTGTTCTAGATCTTTTGTTGGTATCAATGGTATCAAAATAAAAAAAAAACTAATTTCATAAACTTGTGATACAAAACATTTAAATCTATAGCACAATAAATCTTTCAAAATTATATTAAGTTAGACCAAAAAACAGGAGATAGGCCTACATTTTTTTAGTAGGTTTATCCAAATATATTATTGTTTCCAACTAAGCGGTAACACAGAAAAGTTTAATTTCTTTTAGTATTCTGCCATTCTGCCTTAGGTCTGTCTAGCCTTCCATGCCATTTATAAGGTACGATAAAAAATTTTAACTATCATAATTTAATAACAGTAGAAGTAGGTTTAGGTTCACTATTTCTCTTATGAGGTGTTGTCTTGATAAAAAACGAAACCCCATTCTTATTTAAAAACTTAATGTTTTATTTAAAAAAGTCCTAAATCGTTAAATAAAAGTTGTTGTATTAATAGTCAAAGATAAAAGGTACTAGCAAAGCTTCAAGTTACTGTAAAAGATGTTATAGACTATCCCAATTTTTCATGTAATGATAACAATAACATATTTAGGGGTGAATGTAAATGAATTCCTATCGATTTCATAAATACCCAAAATACCCGGGTATTTATGGATTTTGGGTATTTCCCCGGGTAAATATCCAGGGTATTTACCCTGAGTTTTAAATACCCGGGTATTTTACATCACTAGTCAAAATCGTATATTATTGTTCATATATTTATTCTCTGTTAATTTTTTTGTTGCCATTTTGTTACCGGTAGATTTACAAATTTTATACCTTGTTATGTTTGAATATGTTGTATTGTAGCACTAAATTTAAGACTGTGATCAACATCTTAGAAACTAATTTATGTTTTGGAATAATTAAGGACTGACAATCAATTTTTAAGAAATCAAGACGAAGCACCTGTACATGTGATTTTTACAAATTTGTATGTTATGTGCAAATAAATAATCTTATAATTATCATTATGTTTGTTTGTCCTTTATGGACTCTGAAACCGCTCGACAGATTGTAATGAAACTTTCAGGCATTATTAAGCATTATTTAAGGTTGGTTTGTGTGAAGTTTGGTGCAGATCCAGCAAAAGGGCTCCGCCCCATTGGCTCTGGAGTTTCCCATGTTAACCTTATGAGTACTCAAATTTAAATGGTATTAAATAATCTTAACAGCTGGTTCAACTAAACAATTTGATTCTGTGATGTTCAATAGCATTAAATGTAAATAGGTTTACTAACAGGGTGCAGCACTATTACAGGGTGTCCACAGAAAATTTCTCATTGATTTCCATGACTTTCCATGACTATCCATGACCATTTACTATCAATTTCCATGACTCACGAACTTTACTCAAAAATTATAATGTAACATACACACACAAAATACTGCCTAGACAAGTTATTTCACAGAAAATACTTAAATATGTATCTAACAGATAACAATAGAGTAATAAATTTTGTAAAAATAATATGGTATTCAAAATATGGAAGGAAAAAAGAAAACGCAGTCTACTCCGTCCCCATAGCTGGTTAGTTCTCTCTACTCTTTCTTTTTTCCTTACTGTATACTTTTTATTATTAATTTTTTATTGAGTTTACAGTGTTTCAAAAAATTAGGTTATCAAAATAGACATAACTTAAGACGAATCAAAACATTATAACAATATTTGTATTGAAGTTTGAGTTGTAATAGTATTTGTGTTGTAAGCTGTAATAAATTTAATTGTTGTGAATTTATGAAAAATTCAGAAAAATGCTACAATAGTCGGCGTTGTGGCCGACTAGAGCATTAAGTCCTGTCAAATCCATCCATTATTGGGGATTTCCATGACTTTCCATGACTTTTTGCCTATTTCCATGACTTTCAATGACCAGAATTTTTTTCCATGACTTTCCCTGACTATCCCTGACTTTCCAGAATGTGGACACCCTGTATTATTTTTTTTAAATTTATGACAACAGCCAATTTGCAACCAAAAGGTGAGTGAGCGTAGCGAACGAACTTCAACCTGGAGGCGAGTTAGCGTAGCAAACGAGCTTACCTGAAGGCAAGTGACCGCAGCGAACGAGCTCCAACCTAAAGGTGAGTGAGCGTAGCAAACAAACTTCAACCAGGGCCAGATTGAGCCATGCGAACGAGCTCATCTTGAAAATGAACGAGCATTTGACATAAAACCACATTAGGACAGGACGACGTCTGTCGGGCCAGCTAGTTATTATATAAAAAGGCAGTCATACCGGTTTAAGTTATTTTAATAAAGATAAGTGTGTAATAAAGGCAAGTGCTGACAAAAATTTACACAGGGTAAAGTAAATATTTCCGTGAACGATAACATGAGCCGATCCCACTGGTTTACTATGTGTCCGGGGGTAGGGTGATGGGAATTAGGCAGGGAGAACGGGGAAATCACATTCAGTCCTATTTTCGCACCCTCGGAAAATGCCGCATGAATGCCCCAGGTCAGTATAATTAAATATTGCATCATTAATTAACAAAAACAAAGCTAGAACACTATATAATTTGTATGTAAAGATAACCTCTCAAAAGGACTTCCAGCTTTTGGTTTTCAATTCTGCTAATGCAAATAAGCAGCTGTTTAGTAAGTGGTTCAATTATTTATTTTGTATATTATGTTTTTAGGAAAAAGCATTTAGCTTGGATTTATTATTTCGTATATTACGATTGTGTTATCATACCATCGATGTTATCCGACAACAACAATAGGCTGAAACCTTACCTAATAAATCATTCGATAAATAATTTTTGATCGATACGATTGCCAAAAGCAAAATTTACAATTGTTTCAACAGCAGATTTTTCCTCCCTAAAGACTAGTGTTACTCGTGGAGGGTTATGTTATTTATTACGTGGGAGGTTTTATGTTACTCAATGTTAGTTTTATACAAAAAACATTCCAATAAAGTTATGGGAGATCTCGAGATCTGACAGCACTATTGGAAAATTGGGTTTAGACCATGTAAACCTATGTGAAAGGACATACAGCGGAATTTTTTTCTGGCCAACTTTGAGAGATCGGAGACTAATGAACGTCTCCGTTCTCTCAAAGTCTCTATACTTGGAACTGGGACCTCCATAATTAAAACTTAATTTATTTTAACTTCTATAAATCAAACTCTTTATATTTCAAACTTCCCATAGTTCGAAATATATTGTCTTTCCTCTAAAATTTGAATTAGCAAGGTTCTACTGTAATATTAAAGAGAAACAGTGACACTAAAATGTACGTGTCGGTTAGGCATGTGGAATTTATTTCTGTATTACTAATTTTTATTAAAATTTTTAATTACTTGGCATGGATTGTATGCTTTATGGAGAAAGTGTTTCTAAATTTAGATTTTGTTTGTATTTTTTGTCCTGAATTAAAATTACAGAGGCTTACGGTAATGCAGTTTGAATTGTAGAGGCTGCATTAAGCGTAAAAATCACATTTAATTATCGGTACCTATGTTATTAAAAGAATTTTAGAGGTTTTCTGAGGGGAACAGACAAACATATCTAATTATAGAGGTTTTTGAATTATCGAGGTTTGAATTAGTGAGGTTTTTCTGTATTTAATGACACCTAATTTGTTTCAAATCTAATCGCTTAAATTTCTATATTCAATATTATGTTTTGTATAGTGAAAAAACTGGTTTATTGTTTAATATATTTTAGATTTCATCTTCAGTATAAAATAATATTTTATAACCAAAAACAATAATCTTTTGTAAAAATCATACGGTGGGACAACATCCATTTTTAAGATGGCTATATTTTGTGCCTATAAAAACAATCAGAAATAAAATTGCATTAGCCTTTCCATGCATGCTCAACACCTTTCAGATCCTTGACTAAAACTACTTGCACTCACCACGTTGAAGTCGTAGATCTGAATTTCAATGTCAGTATTGTAGAACACCTGGTTGATATCGGTTTTTACTCTAGACCAGTCCAACCTGTCCAGTCCACAGCCTATTCGTGGCATTGCTAACTTCTTCACTCTGAATTGGAGACACTTCTCCTTCAAAGCTATCAATGAGCTATGAAGGTCTTCATATCTGGGTTTACCAATACTGAATTCCTTGGTTACCAGATAAAAGATAAATCGGCCATCCACATCAAGGTGAGCGCAACCTCCAACTGACACATTCTGGTCCAACAACTCCCCGACTCTCTTGAACTCATTCCTGAAAATAAATTACAAGACTAAAGAAAATGTGAGATCTTAAACAAATTGAACTTTCAGACACCAAGATTGTAATTTTACTGGAGTTTGCTTCACAGTATAGTATCCAAAGTAAATATTATATTTCCCCAAGAAAAATGTATGGCACTGTTTAACAAGAGATTGCAATATTAGTTTGGATAATCACCTGCAGTAATACCTGGATATTTTACATATCTTTCACGTGAGTGTGGTGCAGGCCTGGCAAAGGCTCGGGAGGCCCTTTAACACTTGTTGCTCGAATCTGGGCCTTTCCAGGCTGAAATGTTGTGATTTTCACGTTTGGGATTGCAATGAATAAAAGAAAAGTAGTTGTTTTACTTGTTGTATCCAAAAAGAAAGAGTACAGTGCTCCCGTGATAAAGATGTTATTTTGATCAAAGTTTGGTGTATGCAAAAAGGCTGATTGATTGCATTTTCAAAATTTATGGGTACAGCTGCAGGGTGATGAAGGGAAGATCTTTAACTTCTGTAGAATGTCCACAGCATACCTTAGAATTTTAACTCTAAACTCACCTCTCACCATGTTTCCGTTTAGTACATAACTATGGTATGATATCAGTGCACTTTCAAAGTTTTGACGAATTCTTTTTTAGTAAGTGATTACATTTATTCCCTATTTAATAGAATTAGTTTAACGAGTACTTAGGTTTGCTGCAACAGGGAGGGTAAAAAAGTGTTTTTTGTTGTAAAATGTTAATACTGTAATTTAGTAAGAGATGAATGTATTTCCAAATTTGATCAAAATTTGTTTATAGACAAGCAAACTATAACAGATGATTGTATAACAGATGACTTATTCTCCATATGAATAACATGGAAATTTCAAATTTTATAATTTTTTGGAACTTTCTCCATAACCATTAGGCGCATAACAACACTTCAATATATTAAATTATTTGTTTTTTAAGCTCTACAAAATGGTTTGGAAAGAAATTGTAAAATTATGTGTTTTAGAATTATTACCCCATAAAACCCCCCAAACCCCAGTTTTCCATTGTCCGATCATGCTAATTTACGAACTTGTTCAAATAAATGCAGGTTTACACGTTTGTACCAAATTTCATAAAAATATGCTCGAGTTATCGTGCTAACGGACATAATTTGTTTTGTGTATGATGCCCCCTTAAGTCAAATACTGTAACAGTATGCATTTAAACGGTCCGTTTTAACTAGTTATTGGGGGACGTCGGGTTAACCAGAAAACCGTTATCCGAACTGGCCTGAGTCCCAAGGAGTCCGGTTAAGAGGGAGTCTACTGTACAGACCTAGGACCCTTTTTTGTTTTGATGGCCCCAGAGGAAAAAGTACCGGTAATTCTTTAGTTAAAATTTTGATAAATGTGCATTTTTATGCATGTATAAATGTATGATGTTTTGAAAATAACACTTTATTATTTGAAGCAAACTTGAGTGTTTGTTAAACCTAATATTATTTAAATATGAAATAAGTCAGACATATTTGAAACCAGAAAATATTTTGCTAAAAATTTATCAAGGAAAAAAATTAAAAATAGTTTGCTGCGGCAGGGGTAACTGTCCCACATCCCTGCCCTGCAAATCAAACCAAAATATAATACTCTTGACCAAACTAATCAAGTGCTCATTCGATAAAAATGTTTTTCTCCATATTAAATACAACAAACTTTCATATTAAATGAAAAAGAGTAATAGAAAATTTACCATACTCAACTACTGATAGACTCAGACCGTCGAAGATAGCTACTGATTTAGTGATTAATGTCCAGGCAAAACCAGCCCGGAATGCACAAGTGTGAAAGCATACAAAAGAGGCAATGTTCTAAAAACTAGCCATCCGATCCAGGCCAGCATTTAGGTTTGTGGAGGCAAAATTGCACTAGTGTGAAAGCTCCCATGTGATTCAATAGTATAAAATTTGTCCAATATGGGACGGGCCTACACCAAACTGGTGTGAAAGAGGGCTAGCCAAACATTTTATTTTCTTCAACATTACTTATATTCATTGTGTTATTTATAGAACAGTGCCATAAAGACTGAAAACTGAAATTTTGTTAGTCATTTGAAAATATTTTTACTCAAGTTTCAAGATTAATCACAACAAACTTAAGTTTCCCTTGTAGCACAAGAAGAAATAACGGGTGAAATTTCGTAAAGTCAAAATTTCACAAGGTCCAACGGTTAAAATTTTAATAAACAGAGCGTTTCACAAGGTCCAAATTTCATAAAATCCAAAACTCTAACTTTCAAATAATCATCGTTTCACAATGTCCAAATTTCACAAACTCCAACGTAAAATATCAAATGAACAGAGCGTTTCACAAGGTCCAAATTTAAGGTCCAAAACTATGACATTCAAATAATCACCGTTTCACAATGTCCAATGTTAAAATATCAAATAAACAGAGCGTTTCACAAGGTCCAAATTTTACAAGGTCCAATCTTGAATACGCCATTTTGAAATGTGATAAATTTTTTTAAATATGAAGGGGGTGTTGTGACCCATCATTTTGAATTACTTTTTTAAGATAAACTCAGTTCCGAAATCCATTTTTTGTTATCAAGTATTCTTCATGAAATATTGCAATTTTTTCGTTAAAAATGTCAATATTTCAAAATCAAAATATTAAAATGAAAAATGGATCGAGGAATTGAGTTCAGCTTAAAAAAAGTATTTCGAAATGATGGGTAACAACACCCCCTTCATATCGAGGGCCTAAGTCTAATACCACGTACAGGGTGCGGCAAAACAAATTCCGCAGTTTCAATCTCCCGCCGCTCGGGCAGTGGTGGGGGTAGGCAGGTGCAGGTGGTCTCCCTTTGTTCTGTCGCTGACCCCATTTCAGTAGCGCGGTTTTGCTGTGCGTGCGTTTTACGAAAACAGTCGTTCTGTGGTTGCTACACAACGGGCCTTCAGACGACAATTCAATGTTCCACGGAATAAAAATGTTCCGGACGCAAAAACGATTCGTTCTTGGGTTCAGCAGTTAGAAGAAACTGGAAGCACATTAATAAACGCCATCATGGTCGACGTAGGTCCGTTAGAACACCGGAAAATGTCCAACGAGTGAGAGCAGCAGTTGAGGATTCGCCGACACGTTCTGCTCGAAGGCATGCAGTTGCACTTGGGATTTCAGACCGTAGCTTAAGAAGAATGCTTCGATACGATTTAAAGTTTCATCCTTTTAAAATTATGTGCGTCCAGGAACTACGCCCTGTAGACCATGTGAACCGACAAAATCTTTGTGAGCAAATGCTTCAACAGATCCCCGAAGATGCAGTTTTTTTCAGCAGTGACGAGGCACATTTTCACCTCAGTGGTCATGTCAATAAGCAGAATTTTCGCTACTGGGCTGAAAACAACCCTCACATTTTGCACGAGAAACCGCAACATTCTCCCAAGGTCACAGTGTGGTGTGCAGTGTCTCAGTTTGGTGTTATAGGCCCTTACTTTTTTGAGGAAGAAGGTGTGTCAGTGACCGTTAATTCTGAACGTTACATGTCAATGCTGCGAAACTTCTTGGAACCAAGAATCAATGACATTGTTGAAGAACATGGATTAGGGGACTTGTGGTTCCAACAGGATGGAGCTACAGCTCACACATCTCGATTTTCCATGGATGTGTTGAGGGAAATGTTTCCTGAACGTCTGGTCTCTTTGAGGGGTGATGTTGGCTGGCCTGCGCGGTCACCTGATTTGAGTATATGTGACTATTTTCTTTGGGGCTACTTAAAGGAAAAGGTGTTTAAAAGTCGGCCTCATACACTGCAGGAGCTGAAACAGCGGATCATCGAAGAAGTGAATGCCGTACCCCGTGAAATGTGCTCAAGAGCTGCACGGAACTTCAGAGAACGACTACAAATGTGTATCGAAGCCAATGGCCACCATCTTAACGACATCATCTTCAAAACTAAGTAAATTCAAAATGGTATGTTCTATGTATTTATAAGATTAAAATATTATGTTTCTAAGTATCCACGTTTTTTATTTATTAATCCTCAAAACTGCGGAATTTGTTTTGTCGCACAATGTATGAGGAAAATGCCTACTTTACAGGAGAGCAAAAAAACGTTGTAATTATTATGGTTTTACGAAAAACAGCTCATTACTTTATAGGAATGTACATGTAGTTATTAAATTTGATAAAACAAACCACTTCTTATGTTTATTTATTATTTACAAGAGTTATTATAAAAAAAAGTAAGATACGAGGTATTGTAGTAAACTTTTTTTAAATGTGCCAGTTGGAGGGTTAACTTACGTGGTATTGAAATTGGGTATACGAGTTATTAGAATTTACCAATTTGTAAGGTACGAGGTATTGCTAAATAAACACTAAGCATTTTTATTATAACAACTGTATTGTTATAATTACTATTTTATTGTATTACAGAAAAAATTAGAGTATAAAATTATTCCTTAGCAAAAAAGTTAATACAATAATTTGTATAACAAGTTATAACGTATTTTTACAGTAAGAATATTCCTCCTTCTAAGACCTCGTATCTTAACACTGATTTATGACAACGTATTACATAAATTGTAATAAAGCCACAAATAAACTAATTGCATATATACAAAACTGAGTTAATTCTATTTTATATTTACTACATTTTGAACACTGAAATTCACTTTTTCACTATGAAACTGCATAACAATAACAGACCCGCACAGCTGACCACCTTTTGCACACTGTAAACAATACAAGATACGTGTTGCTAGAAGGAAGGTTTACCAATACTGCAAGATACGAGGTCTACATTTCCCATTTTTTAAAATTATTTCCCATTTTTATAGACTTACGAGGTTTTAGAATTAGGTGAGAGACAATGAAATCTATTGTTTTTACTATAAATCTCAAAACCCTATATTTGGAAGATACGTGGTATTAGACTTAGGCCCTCGATATTTAAAAAAGGGCTAAAAATAAAGTTTTAAAAAACCCTCATAACTTTTGAACGGATCAAGATTTTTTTAAACGGTTTGTGGCATTGTAATCAGGGTAAAAATATAGTTTTAAGTAATAGGTCACAACCCATCCTTACATAAGAAAAAAATATTTTGCATCTAATATGGTGAATCCAAGATGGCGGCTGGAAATTACCACCTCGTCAAAATGAAGTACTTACTACCCAACAATGTTAAGAAGTGGTCTGGGATTGATATTTGAAAAAATTCTAGAAAAAAAGTGGGGGCCACAATTAAAACTCACTCTATATACTTGTTTGCTTAAAATCTGGACAAGAAACTATTACTTACTTAAACTTCACAGCTATTCCACTGCCCATGCGGAAATCTTGTGCCACACAATGGGCAAGAGCAAAGTCATGTGGTGCAGAAAATAAGTCACCCGGAATCTGTTTGACGATATTTTGTTTGATAGTACCTAAACAGACATGATATAAATGTAACAAGAGCTGAAGTAAAGAGAAAAAAAAACAGGTACTTAGTTAAGTTTACCCATAGCAAATTTTTGCAGGCCTACTCATTATTGGTAGAATACTGTAAAGTGTCCTTTGTTTAATCTTATCATACTGGCAGTCCTCAAAGTAAAACCATTATTTATTCAAGTACTAGGCGACCAAGCATTGATTGTGGTGTTTATTTTGGACAAAACGTAAAAAAAAAATAAAAAAAAAAAAAAAAACATAGGTCTATATATATACAATTAATTACATGATGTTATAAAATACAGTCAAAGATATTTATAAAAAAAATTATTTAAAATCATTTTATCTTGCTCACATATTGGTGCTATTTGCGCAACATTTTGTGCACGGCCCTGTCGTCCTAAGTCATTGAGAATCATTTTTGGGCTTAATAAACTCGCATTACTGACACAGTAAAAAAATTCTGAAATAAAAATTCTGCATTTAAAATAGTAGGAATATATCATTACAGTTTTGTAATTTTTAAAATCTGAGCCGTTGTATAAGAATTAATGTTAGGCCTATACAATAGTTAATCTCATATGGTATAGTTTGGCCTACATTTCACATCGGGTTCCCTCTACTTGATTTAGTAATTGATTTACCAATTACTTGACTTTAATTAATTGCCGTTGAGATGCACGCGTGGTAGGAGCCTGGGAATATGAGGGTAAGGCCCCCACGAGAGGTATGGTGTTAATTAAGTAATTACTCCAAATTTCCATAATTGTTGATTCCAGATTCTGCAGTCAAAAATGATTAGGAGTCGTTTTTGAAATCATTGTGAGCAAACGTTACTCGTACTATAGTATAGATAAAGTGCCACATTACATGAAACTGAATAGGCCTAGTCATAGACTAAGTACAAAATTGATTACAGCTAAGTAAATACATACTGTTTTTGATAGGTCTAAGCCTGTTGCTTTTAACTAGCCTTTATATTTTTAGGTAAATATGATATCCGACATCCGTGATTATATATTTCAACCCCAGCAAAATTTATGATGATTTCCTGCGGTCACGGCAACATCCGTGATAGTGTCCCATGATCAAAGCAACGACCCCCGTACAGCATAAACCGTATAGAACAAAAGTCTGAATTTTAAAATAGGCCGATTAACATGGGACAAACAAAAATAGTTTTTTAGATAACTAGGCCTACTGTTTTTTATTTTGACCTTGTGGATATTTTCAAATCCACTTTTAAGTGGTGTATTCAGTGAGGCGCTACTAATGGGATTCAGTCGCACAGATGACCCAGCCATTGTCTTGATCTAACCATGAAAATATAATATTAGTTCCTTGCACAGGGCTGCCTGAGGTAAGTGCTAGATGCACCTTGGTCCAACCCCGTCAAAATGTATTTGTGAACCCCCATTAGACTAGATATTAAATGTACTTTGGTCCGCGATTCATTGTTTACAGATAGATCAAGGTGTCTTTCACATTTCTTGAGAACAAACATAAATTACTCTGTAGGATATGCAGGCCTAAAGCAACAATCTTTGAGTTCAAACTGACCACAAATTTTAGGTGATAAGCCTTAATGTTTCACCTTAATAGTTCACTTGAAATGGTTTTATAAATTAAATTGACGTGTCTTGATGACATTTCATTTAAGCCTATGATCACTTGTTAGCACAATAGGCTAGAAGAATACGGAATAATGTATTTAGGTACTGATTTAAGTACAGTAAATGATAATTTGACCTAGTTATCAAACTTTTAATCTGGACGTGAAAAGATACATAGAAATTTACATACCTTGAACTTGTTGATTCTTAACAGTCTCTGACGATCTAGGTTTTTCTTCTTTGAACAAATTTTCACTACGCCCAACCCAAGCATTTTGTCCTGAGAGAAAGATTATAATCAATAATAAATTTACTACATATGTTATAGTATATTTCGTACCTAGGGCTCGTTTTGAAGGCGAGAGCTGCAAAACTATTTCGGTCCGTGGTACAAACACAATTTTTCACCACACTATACCCTATTATCACAATTCACTACAATAATAATGCACACTAACAGTCGACACAACTACAACTTTAAGGTTATGTGAAGACATTTTAGGAATCAGCAAAAATAATGATAAATAGTTGCTAGGCAGCGGTGACTATAAAACAAGTATTACGTTTGTATTACATATTTACACGCCCTGATCTCTGATGTGATTAGATAGCTAAAACAGTCCTAGCTAAGTGTGAAAAAGTCCCTATGATGTCAAATTGCATTGATTTGATACAGTAAACCCTTGATAATTAGGCCATCAATGATCCAGACCCTCCAATAATCTGGCTCAATCCAATCACTCAAAAATCATAGCTTAAAAAATAAATAGTATGTGTGTAATTAAATATTGTAGGCTACTGTGATTTAATATATAATTACATACATTAAATAAATTACTGTAGCCTACCTGATTCATACATTGAGACAACTTGGCGATCTTTTAGAAGAAATAGAAATTAAAATCTCATACAAACTTATGTGCAAATATTGTTATAATTTGGTATTATTGCATTTGGTAGTGCATACCAAACTTTCAACCTATTTTTGTAGTGCGGAAATCTGTACTAAAAGGTGCTTGGAAGAAAAACATTTTAGACATTCAACAATCTTTTTGTGGAATTGGGAGTTTTGACTGTTAGGCAATTTAAGATGTGTATAGTACTAGTGGCTTGTTGGGCAGAGTTTAGAGGATACCAAGGTTTTTATTGTGCTAGGCCAACCTAACTGTTGACCCTCACCACTCTCCATCCAATCCCCCTCAAATCCCCTCAATCTTCACCACAAAATTGATTCATAACAGGCTCTGACGATCTAGTACCAATTACCTCAGTTGATATTTTAGTTCAGAAAAATAAAAAAAATCTGTTCCAAGCAAGATAACATTTTTATTCAGCAAATACACTAGTTTAAAAACTTTTCTGAATTTAACTTGTCATTTAATAATAATCATATTCATAACTCATGTCCACGCACAGGCCCCTATGTAGGTATTTCCTGAAAATGTCAGCAGTTATTTTTTTACGTTTATTAGCTATGTCTTATTGTACAGTGTATTCTTTTACTAGTATGGAATTTGTATTATATTTTTTACAAAAAAAATATGATTAGGGCTATTTCATTCCATTATTTGATATCTGATTTATAAATTATCTTGCCTAACACCAAACTATAGGTCGGCCGCTTAGAAAGCGACCTGCGCACTAATGCTAACCAATGCTAGAGGAGGTCGCTTTCTTAGCGGCCGACCTATAGGCCTTGAGTACACTGGCAAGTGGAATCTCACACATGCACACTCGCTACCCACTCATGAAAAAGGTTATAGCTGCTAGATTACAATTATTTATTGTTATTATTTTGGTCGTAACATTAGTCATCGATTCCAGGAAATATCATATATACCAGCGGTTCCCAGGAAGAGACTAAAATGTTAGTGTTTTTTTTTCAATACTGAAACGGTCTGCTGAGCAACAGAACAGTAAGTACCAAGTAGTAAGAAGGGCATTGCTGTATATTAGAAGAATTTTGAAATATTCACAGTTTAACGTGATTGACTTGTTTTAGCTTAGAGCTAGGAATATTAAAACTAATGTTTTGGAAGTTTTTATTTCCAATTTTTATATGTGGATTTGAATAGTTTTGGGACTTTTTGGGCAAGAAAAACGTTCTTATATTGTGATCAAGGACCATCTACAGGGTGTCTAGTTTATTTCCATTATAAAATTCAAGACTAATTCCAGACTTTTCAAGACTAATTCCAGATTTTTCAAGACTAGTTTTTTCCACAATTAGTGGGTGTTGATACCAAAATGTATCGATTCTCGATTCTTGATACCTATACCAATTTTTATAGCTATTTCTAACCAAATTTTCTAAATAATACTACACCAACTCTTTGTCTTTGTCATAAAGTAGTATTATGATAGTGTGGTGTTTTCAAGTAAAGAAATAATGCAGCAATAAAACAATCTAACTAGCAAATTTGGTTTTTTTTTATCATGAAATCTTCTGCGTACCATACGTTTAGACATCATCATTGACTGCAGCGGTTACAGAAACGTGATTGTCGTCGTCCGCGATCACGGCAAAATCATAAACACTTCCCGCGGCCGTGTATACATCATCGTCGTCTCCTGCGGTCACGGAAACTCCATCGTCACGTCCCGCGGCCACAGAAACGTAATCGTCGTCGTCCGCGATCGCGATAAAATCATGAATATTTCCCGCGGCCGAGCAGATATCATCGTCGACTCCCGCGGTCACGGAAACGTCATTGTCATCTCCGCGGTCACGGAAACGTCATCGTCATCTCCCGCGGTCACAAAAACGTCATCGCCTTCGTCCTCGATCGCGGCCAAATCATGAACACTTCCCGATGCCGTGTAGACATCATCGTCATCTCCCGCGGACATGGAAACGTCATCGCCGTCGTCCTCGATCGCGGCAAAATCATAAAAATTTCCCGCTGCCGTGTAGACATCATCGTCGTCTCCCGCGGTCACGGAAATGTCATCGTCGTTGTCCGGGATCGCGGAAAAATCATGAACGTTTCCCGCGGCTGTTTAGACATCACCGTCATCTCCCGCGGTCACGGAAACGTCATCGTCATCTCCCGCGGTCACGGAAACGTCATCGTCATCTCCCGCGGTCACGGAAACGTCATCGTCATCTCCCGCGGTTACGGAAACGTCATCGTCATCTCCCGCGGTCACGGAAACGTCATCGTCGTCGTCCGGGATCGTGGCAAAATCATGAACATTTTCCGCGGCTGTTTAGACATCACCGTCATCTCCTGCGGTCACGGAAACGTTATCGTAGACGTCCGCGATCATGGCAAAATTATGAATATTTACCGCGGCCGTGTAGACACCATCGTTGTCTCCCGCGGTCACGGAAACGTCATCGTCGTCGATCGCGACAAAATTATGAACATTTCCCGCAGCCGAGCAGATATATCATCGTCATCTTCCGCGGTCACGGAAACATCATCATCATCTCCTGTGGTCACGGAAACGTCATCGTCGTCTCCCGTGGTCACGGTAACGTTATCGTCGTCCCCAGCGGTCACGGAGAGGTCATCGTCGTCTCCCGTGGTTTCGGAAACGTCATCGTCGTCGTCCACTATCGCGGCAAAATTATGAACATTTCCCGCGGCCCTGTAGACAACATCGTCGTCTCCCGCGGTCACGGAAACGTTATCGTCGACGTCCGCGATCACGGCAAAATCGAGAACATTTCCAGCGGCCGTGTAGACATCATCGTCGTCTCCCGCGGTCACGGAAACTTCATCGTCATCTCCCGCGGTCACGGAAACGTCATCGCCGTCGTCCGCGATCGCGACAAAATCATGAACATTTCCCGAGGTCGTGAGGACTATCATCATTCTCTCATCATCTCTCTGTCTACGTAAACGGAAGACGGCGATCGCGGCAAAATCATAAAAATTCCCGACTTTGAAATCAAATTTAAGACTAAATCCCGACTTTTCAAGACTATTTTGAAATTCAATACTAATTCCCGACTTTCCCGACTACTAGACACCCTGCATCTATTCTCTGTTTTCGCGAAAAAAATTTACAATATTGCAGCAATATGCAAAGGACCAACCTAGCCCACTTGTTTTTTTACAAATCTTTACAACCTGTAGATTATCATTGAAAGCTTTGATTATCATAAAAATCATGATGTTTTAGGAACGTGGGGTATTATTACAACTTCACTGTGGTCTTTAAGATGGTAAGGTAAGTGACAAGATATAGTTAGGACGGATTTGTGATAAATGCATAATACAATAAATTTTCTAATTAACTTATTAACCAAACATAATTTTAAACCTCTGACTTTTTTAAAGTGAGTTTTTGTAGTTAAATCAATAGGAAGTCATAACTAAATTATTACACAATTTAACCTCCTGTTAAACACTTCTGAGTTTTGACAGTGTTTGATTTATAATATGTTACTGACATTACGATTTAAAGATTTTTTACAATGAGTTCACAAAGAAAGTGTTATTATGAGAGATTCTAAAAATATCATTATCTTTTGTAGATGGATACTTAATATAGGATATTGTTTATTTTGAGCCTGACCCAAAGTATACTACATTTATAATAGTTATGAATTCAAAAACTTCCCAGACCCCCATTACTTTGCTGGAATCAAAATAAAATTGAACATAAATACAGAAAAAGTCTCTTGTAAATATTATGCCTAAACTTCATTCCAGTTTATCAAGTTTCTACTGTACACTGAAAACAAGAAGTGTTGTACATAGCAAAGTAAAAGTGATCATATTATGAGGTTTGTCAGGAAATGAAAGTCTGTGTCGCGGCCAAGTGAGCTTGTTTGAATCTTAGACCAATGATTAGGTTATTTCTGGGGAAAGCGGGAACCCCTATTGAAATACATTTCCAATTTTCGGCACCTATAACGAGACTTATTGTTGCATAGCAGTGAATGTAGTAAAGAACATGGCGTTGGTCACAAATTTGAACTAGCTAACTTGCGTTATTGGCTTGCTTGCTTTGAATTACTTGGGTGCCCAAAGGAGCCTTGATTTACGGTCACACATTATACCTTAGTAACAGATTAATACTGCCTACACCATCTTAGCAACAGTTTACAGCATCTCAATATTCCCTATTCTATCTAAGTATACATCATAATACTGACCTCTAGACATTCCTGTGTCCCGGTTAGTTTGATCTTTAGATAAGATCTTTATGTTATCTTTATCCTTGTTTGGGCCGTCGTCGTGCCTCAGAGGATAGGTTTCAGAACAGTTGACTTGTTCGTTACAATCAGTTTTTTCACTAAATCTGTTACTGCGGTTCTCTCTCCTATTGCTTCTAGTTTCTTCACATCGGGGACCCCTGTTATCTCTATTTTCTTCACATCGGGAGCCCCTGTTATCTCTATTTTCTTCACATCGGGGACCCCTGTTATCTCTATTTTCTTCACTTTGGGAGCCCCTGTTGTCTCTATTTTCTTCACAACGGGGGCCACGGTTTTGAGTGTTTTGATAATTTTGGGGAGTGCTCTTCATTCTCTCACTACTGAACTGAGGCCTGTAATTATTACTAGGCATGGCCCTGTAATCATGAGACTGATGTCTAGAATTTTCATTGGGATGTCTAAAACTGTCATTTCTGTAGTGGTTTGGAGATCTGAAGTTACTGTGGGTTTCTTGGTCACTGAAAAAAAAAAACAGAAGTAAAATAAGCCTAATCAATGTAGTAAAAATTAGAGTTTATGTGCCGACTTCACTTGTGGGATAGCAAAACCCGCGTACTGTAAACAGGAACAAGGTTATCTTAACCCTCAGAGGGGTAGTGTCTTACTTATAGCGAATTTTCCATATAGGGAACAAGCTATTACCGTTGTACTCATGGTAAGACCTGGACCCAGGACCGATTTACTTTTTCGTTTTGAGGTCCCTAGAGGCCAAACACCATCCGTTCAAATTCACACATATATATAATAAGTATGATTGTGATTAGGGCTACTACTACCTATATAAATAATCAAAAACATTATAAAATCATTAGTACCCTTTTAAATTCATTTTAATTAAGAACCGACATTTTTCAACTAGGGGTGTGCGAGTACTCGAATCTTCGAGCTTTTTGGTCGAGCTTCTCATTATTCGGCTCGGCTCGAGGCATTTTGAAAAAGCTCGAAGTTTGAGCCGAGCTTTTAATACTAAGTCAAAACACTTAATTTGGGTCATAATTGAAAACAACGTTATCACAATTCTACGTTGTTCATGCATTCGAGGTTTGATAAGAACGAACCTCAGCTCAGTCAAGACGCAATGATTATCGATCGTAATTTTGAGGAGATAGGAAAGAGACAAACGACCACCTATCGCATACAACGCAGTGCGAGTGCGTGATTGGCTTGTCGCTATGACGACACACGGTTGCCGTGACAACCTACAGTGCGCACTGAGCACTGTGCCTTGTGTGGGAGGGGAGATTATACCAACAAACAATTTCAGGAATTCTATTTTGGGACGGATGAAAGATAAGGAAGAAACAAAGAAAGATAAGGAAGAAACAAAAAGTGGTCACGTGTGCAAATGTAGTGGGCGACACAATAAGGCTGTAAATGAGTATCGTCTGACGTTGTTCCTTGTTTGTTTACTTTTTCAGATTCCTTATCAAACGCCCCTATCTGCTATCTCTCTCTCTCTCCTCTCTTCTCTCTCTCTCTCTCTCTCTCTCTCTCTCTCTCTCTCTCTCTCTGTCCAGCATCTGGTGCTTTGCGGGGATACTTGTTTGTATGGTCACTTGTGGGAACTCTGCCATTTTTAGTGTTAGAAAGAATCTAGTGAGAGAAGATTGTTAGATAAAATTTTAGCAGTTGTTTTTTGTGGCCCTCTCTCAAAAATTCGTCCATTTACCAAGTGCCGATTTTTGTCCTTGTGGGGCTATAACGGTCACTATGAGAGAGGATTTACGAGGATATGTGAGAGGAATTAGTGGGGATATAAGAGAGAACATTCAGAGGATATAACGGTCATTGTAAGAGAGGGCATAGTGAGGATATGTGAGAGGGATATGTGGGGATATAAGAGAGGAATTTATAAGGATATAAGAGAGGAGCATGTGGGGATATAAGAGAGGAATTTATAAGGATATGAGAGAGGGGCATGTGGGGATAAATGAGAGGGTTTTGTGAGGATATATGAGGGGGACTTGTGGGAATATAAGAGAGGACTTTATGGCGATATGAGAAAAGAGTTGATAGTTCTACAGTTACTTGGGTTTGTGCGATGGTGATTATCCAGGAGACACAAGAGAGGGCGTTATGAGGATATGAGAGCGGATCTTGTGGAGATATTACAAGATAGATATTTGTGGGGTTATGTAGGCCTATAAATAGTTTTTGAGAATGTTAGACGGTGAAATAGGATACCAAGTAACTTTCAATGGATATAATATAAGAGAGAGATTTGTGGGACTGTAAGAGAGGACTTTACGGCGATATCTCAGAGGGTTTTGTGGAGGTATGAGAATGAAATTAGGAGGACACGTAAAAACAGTTCATGCTAAATGTTTTAGGGTAATATAATTAATTGAATGATCTTAAGAAATGATTTAAACACTAGACTAATGATTTATCACGCTTTATTTTCATCAATTTTACAGTATGGAACAGTATGGAAAAATTCAAGCTTTGGGGCGTCACCTCTGGTTCGTATCAACTTTTTAAACTTCAAAAAATAATACTTAGAATAATGTTTTCAAACCCGTAAAACATTCTTGCAAACAACTTTTTAAAGAACTAAAAATTCTAACCGTCCCTAATTTGTATATT